GTGAAGGGGGCGGCGCGGGCTGCGTGGGAGGAGAGGAGGAAGACGGAACGGCTCCTCCATTAGGGGGGAGGGCTGCCCGCGGGGGAAGCTGCCTATAGCTCATGCGGCTGCCGGCTCCCGATCAAGCTCTGGGGGAACTCCGAGACTGGAGCCGCGCCGCAGCCCTCTACGGAGAAGAGACACCGCCCAGCAGCCCCTCCGCAGCCCCATCGCGCTCCGCCGCGGCCGCCGACCGCACATCCTAAGCCACCTGATTGACCGGCAAGCTTGGGAGGGGGAGGGGCGTCTAGAAAACCCCGCCTCCCTGCCCCGTTATCCCTGGGCTCCCATTCGCTGTTACAATAGTCCTTCAAACTCCTCCCTTACCTGATTGAAGATCGGCGGCGCCTTAACAGCAGCCTACCTCCCCGTAGCCTCTCCGCCCCGTTTTTTTGCTCAGCTGTTTCGCACGCGCTTAAAGTCGTCCTTCCTATTGGGCGGCTCCGCAACGTTCCCCTTGGATCGGATTTAGCGTCACTGCGGGAGCTGAGATTCTGTCGTTGCTAGGCGAGAAGGCTGCCCTTTGCCTTCAGCGCGGGCCAGTGAGTTCTTTGCGTGTGAATGAATGGGCGTGGATCAAGGGGGAGAAACAGATTTCCTGATTCTGAAGAGCGCTTCTTCGCTTACTACTCACTAATTACGGGGTTCTCCGGTTTATATTATACTGTACGGTATTCTGAAGTCTCAGTTGCGTCTGCTAGACGTGCAGAACGGCCTTTTGCTGGTCTTTTCTTTTTCAAAGCAGCTTTGTAGCCCTATCGGAACTGTGTGCCCCTTTCCTATTCCAGGCACCCAGGTGGGACTACCTGCCTTTAAAAAACTGGTCAGAAACTTGAGCTGGAGCAAAATGTGGCCACCCATATACTGATGGGAGACAAGTGACTGGTATGTGAGCTAATCGCATTGATCAATGTATTTCCAAGTCCAGTTTACAGTGCTGACTTTAAAAACAAAGAGTCTGGTCACTATTCTCTGGTTGCAATTCAATTGTATGTACCATCCCTAGAGAAATTTTGTCTGTGAGGAATGTAACAAATGTAAATAGAGAAATGTATCCTAATAAAAGTGCATAGATATTCAGCGGCTATGTTTGAAGGGTATGATGATCCATAGTTAACCATGGTTTACTTTAATCAATTTTCTGAGTTCTCCTGACACACCCTTCCTAGCAAGCTTCCTTCTTTCTTTCTTTCTTTCTTTCTTTCTTTCTTTCTTTCTTTCTTTCTTTCTTTCT